GAAGAGCTTGCTCAATATAAACAATTTTGGGGACTGTATCTTATCAGACAGTACAAGTTAAAACTGTTTAGAATGCCTGTTTCCAATAAATACACAGGTTAAAGTGGGCTATCTTTAAAAAATTAAATATATATAAACAGGTTAACATTAAATATTTGTCAAATAGTTTATAAAAATTAATTTGCGGTTTGAACACCTACTGAGTTTTCTGCTACTCAAGGAAAAAATTCCTTATGTTTATATTTCGGAAGCACTCACAACTTATCAGAAGGCAAATTTATAGTAAAATAACATAAAACTTTAGACCTCTTGGCAGTTTAGAGTCAGCACAGAAGACAGGGTAATGATCTTTTAAGAACTTAATCTGAGTCAGGGGGAAGATTCATCATTTATTTTAGGCTTTTGAGAGTGATTCTTCACTGATATCTCTTCTGGTTAAAAAATTTAAACTGTTAAAGGTTTTATGTCCTTGTTTTTTTTTTTTTTGTTTTTTTGGTTTTTTTTTTTTTTTTTTTTTTTTTTTTGGTTTTTTTTTTTTGTTTGTTTTGTTTAAGGCATTGATTCATTGATTACATTGGAAAAAAACTTGCTCAAAGCACCCAGCAGTTCTTACATTTCTCACTCTGACACATAGATTATATAAAAACTGCTCTCTCAGCTACTTAAGATTTGCCCCATTTCCTATACAGAAACTTATAATTGTTTTCTTGAGAATAAATAGGAGATGAATGTGAAGAGACCGTATTTACAAGGCAAACTGATGAGTTTTCCTCCAGAAGCAGGGAAGCACTTCAGTTCACTAAAAAGTCAAGGCATGCAGCAGCAGTGGTCCTCTGCTACAAGAAAGCCCCATGACCCTTGTACTACAGAAATTCTGCAAGTCTCCCATCCTCTTTGATGCCATATAAACATTGCAAAGGTCATTACCCTGCTCTACAATCATTACATAATGGAATAATAATGTCTGTTTTGATGATTCAGATGTCATAGACCAACAAGAAACTGAGTAAGAACTGAGAAAGACCGAACAGAAATTCCTCAGGAAATAACAAATTTAGATTATAAACTACTGTAGAGAACTGTCAGAAATGGAATAGAAGAGGAAAAACTTTTTCTGATATCTTAGATTTTCTTTCTTCAATATTTTTTTTTTAAATAAACCATCATGGAACTAAGTAAGAAACGTGACTGATATGAGAGACAAATTAGATCTAGACAGCACAGTTTGGAAAGCATGGCAATTACCAGGAAATAGTTATGCTGGCTATAACTGTGTTTTAATTAATTTTTTAAAATTTCTTCACCAGGTACAACACCCACCTTGAGGAGAAGATTTCTGATGCTACATTTCACTCTAACTAAGCAAGTTTTAAGCACATGTATTAGTTCCTTATTTTGGTGGCTGACAAGAAAGTTATTTACAATACTATTATACATTGAAATTCCTCATGCCATACAGAAGCAGCAAGGGAATACATTCCATATACTAACAGCTAAATGACTAACAATGAGCCATGAGGATGCAGTCACAGAGATTTAACTTCTTGCTGCAATAAATTTACAAATTCAATAGAACATTTTTATACAAGATAGCTGTAGGTAAAAGACAGGAAGAACAATGATGAAGAAAAGGACATTATTTACATCTTATTGAAATTAAGATTTAGTATACAATATAGCTTTTTTTTCCTGCTACACTTTTATCTCAAGGTACATCATAAAAAGAAAGACAAACTCTCATTCTTCTTTGAATAATAAAGGCATACAGTGTCTTCCACCATTATTTTTTTCTTTCTTTTCGATAATTCTATGGAAATTAGAGTTCAAATATTGCTAAACAAGTTGTTCTCTGAAACAAAACAAAACAAAAAAAAAAGGAAAGAGAAATTATTTTGGGTTTAATATACATTATATAAAATATTAATTACTTTAGAAGTTGTTCAATTTAAAATATTTGTATTTTTAATTTGAATAAGCAGATGTGTCTGTTAACTGTCACTATACTGAGAAAAGTAGACAAATACTGGAAGTTAGACTTGCTGTACATAAGAGCAAGTTAAAATACAGTATAATAGGAACAGAGCTTTGCACTGTTTAGCTCTTGCAATGCACTGGCTGAGTTACAAGGAATAAAATGAATCCGCTTCTTTACCTAGTTGTCTTCAACAAAAGTTTACAGCATTTGGAAAAAGTGCATGACTCCAATCTGCTTTTAGAATAAAGCTCACAATTTAAAAATTTGTTAAATTTGTTTTGAATTCATCAGCTCCCTTTTACCACATGTTCATCAATTGTGCAATGTCTTTCTGGCTTCAGTAGTATAGATGTATAGATTTTGGATGTACAAGTATTATTTGCTGCATTGTAATACACTGTAAAAAACTGCCTAAGCAGGTGTATGGTTGCTTAGGTCCCTGTGTGACCACAGCAGAAAGGAACTGTAAATAGCACAGAACTGTCTGAAATTCTCTGCGTGAAATCTTCTTAGAGACCCAATACTGAAAATAAAGGAAAACAGAAAAGCCACACTAATGATGGGACGTGAGGCAACTATGTTTCTTGAAGACGCAAATAACAGGGCTGAAAAGTAGTGCTAGCAACCTCTGTTCAGAGACTAAAATAATGCAGTAATCTGAGTCATGACCTGGGATCTCAAATTCAGACTCCATACCACAGTTTGGTAAACATACATACAAGGGGATCTTGTAGTTCTTTATCTATCATAGAAATCAGGGGTTTTTTTTTGTTAAAAAATAATTATTTTAACCTTCTTTAAATAAAAATGTGTATCAAATGTATTTTATATTCAGAAATTGTCATGTGGATTAAATCTTAAAGCTTTTTTTTTCTGTAACTACAAGCTTATCTAATTTTGTATAATATTTAACATTTTTGTGTCATTCAGCTCCATCTGTTCCTATCTTGCCTCTCACAATTTACCAGGTACCTGTTTCAGAAGACAGTACATATATTCAATGACTAGCAACTAACATGTCCAGTCCAAGATAAAATTTGCTCTCTCAGTGGTTTAAATTGCCAACAGGACTCTCACATAATCAAATGAAAGATGGTAATATAGAATAATCAAATACTTCATATTTCATCAGAATTATAAATTGCTTTACCAAAGCATAAAATAAATTTCAGCAAACTGTCTGTAAAATTAAGTTGTGCTTCACTTCAAAATAATCTGTAACCTGACAGGAACAAAATTCATATTATTTACCTGTTCCGCCTGTCAGCCTAGGGAATAGAGCACAAATCCAAGTAGCATGAGATCATGAACACCAGGAAGATGTATCTGGCAGCAGTGAATATCTGGTATATTAAATAATTTTTCAGATCAAAAGATAGGTGTTTTCTAAAGTCTTAGTTAAGGCTAGAAATATTTCTCATTGATTATATATACCTCTTGCCTTTGGATTTTTCCCTTTTCAAATACATGAAAATGTAATTTCTTTTTCTTGATGATCCATTTCCAGGCTTGTGCTACTTCTCCTTTGTTGACCTTCAAAAAGACAGCAGTAATTAACACTTTCAGGGTACCTTAACACTCTGAATTACATTCTTGAGCCAAATGATCTATGCAATTTTCTTACCTAAGGAAACCCTCATACTAACTGCACATTGAGAGTGCAGTATTCCCTGTTCTCTTTCCATATATACTATTTTGGGTACACAAGACTTTGCAGAATTACAGACTGATAATAATTATTTGTTTCTGTATTCATTAGGAAAGAATTATTACAGATATTACTTGGATAGATTAGTCACAGCTGCTGATAGTTTAAAGTTAGCTATTTAACTCTACGTTTTACATATCTCCTGGAGAAATAGTTGTGATAAGATACCTTTATTTTAGCTCTCAAAATCATTTTCTATTATTTTCATCAGTTAATAAGCGTTCTCAATTTTGCAGAGAAACTTAGGCTTTTGTATTTCTTGATTTCACTGGATGAACTACTCTGCAGATCAAAAAATTGTTCCATTTGAATACTCTGGTTAACCACATTAACATTTTGTAACACAAAAAAAGCTCTGTGCTTAAAAGGAGCTTGGAAAAAAAAACCTCCAGTACCTTTATTTCAATGTTTTTAAACACATCTGAAAGATATGTCATGAGGCAGTAATAGCTATATTTTGACATTGTTCTTTACTAAATGAATTAGTAATAAACATAGGGACATCAGAACAGGTACTGATTTAAATGCTAGTTAAGACAAAGACTATGAAAGCTTAAACACCACACATTATTAACAGTCATATGTTTTTGTATTATATAACAAGACCAATGTCAATAGAAAGCTCAGGTGAATTAATTAAGATTTGTTACTGACTTATGGCCAAGTATGAGATCAGCCATAGCATCTACACATCCCCAAGCATGTCTTTCATAATATGAGAGGTCTACATAATATGAACGCATAAAATAGCAATGAAGAGTTCAGGATGAAGACAAAAATATTTTGTTTCAAACTTACTATTTTGCCAAAGAATGTGCATATTTGTGTCTGAAAGTATTTGTAAGAATTTTTGCTGCTAAAAACAGCACTGAGGAAGGTCAATGACTGCACAGTACACACAAATAGTTCAAGAGATGTGATGAATGCAATTTTTTTATGACTTTGATTTATCATAAAGATAGTATCACAGCATACACTATAGTATTGTCCTCTCAATAAACAAGAGTTCAGCTGCAAAATCATGTGATGGACTCCATTTGCTTTGGCATTGTAGCAATTGACAATATATTCTTCATATCTACTCAATTCATACTCTTGCCCTCTGCAGCAATCTGGTGTTGGTTTAATCAAGTAAAACATCCTGTTGTCTTCTCCCAGATATCTATTACCCTGCACTTTTTTCCTACATCAGACATGCTGTCCTCCATCTCCAGCCTTCACACAGAAACAGCACATCCTTTTGCATTTCCAGTATTATTCACCCACCGTCAAATAATTGAACAGTCAAACTTCTACTATTAATTTTGTACTTGTCCAGTCTTAAAGGAATCCTCAACAACTGCACCCAAGAAAATATTTCTTCAGTTAAGGTAAGTGAAACATAATCATTTCATTAAGCTTATTTTCTTTTACTCAAAGTACACACTTGGATGTTTCTGGCTGTCATTGAACCAATGCCGCTGTCCTGGATACTAAAATGACCATTAGCCCAGGGCTGAATTCTGTTTGGTTCCTATTTACAAAGTCAAATCAAGGGGAAAGCTTCCAATTGTTGAAAAACAGAAGAGTTATCATCTAACTGTGTAGGAGCTCAGCACTGACACACTGGGCAGTGTTCATGGCAGGGATGAATCAGTGGGTAGAAGTGTGAGAAACAAAAGTTCGTAACTTCTGCTGTAAAAGAAGTTGTCATAATTCATAATCATAAAAAAATTCTTGTTAAACATTCATGTTTCAGGTAGCTTTAAAATAAAATTTAGAAAAATATCAACAAGAAAGCTGTCAAAAATCTCACATCGCCCCCCCCCCGCCCCCCTTTTTTTGGTTCTTAATTTTTCAGTAGTCATTTTGGATTAGTGTATCTCCAGAAGAAAACTAATAGGTAAGGGTAAGTACATTTCCCAAGCCTGGCTACATTGACTATGTAGAATATTTAGCAAAGATGGAATAAACGAATAGGGTTATTATTAAATTGACTTCCTAGCCAACCTTTAATCCCTTTATTTTGTCCAGGTCACAAGATTTTGTAAATGACAGGTTTTAATTCAGTATGGTTCTTGTTTTAAATTGGAAGTTACTAGTTGCTATGTAAATCCTAACATCACAGCTTCTTTGTGCCATTTCTATAACAGTTGTGAATCCCATGGCACAGCTGTATAAGAAACATTTGTGTATTTAAAATCTCAATTTAACAGATTTTTGCAGCATCAGCTGCCCTTTACTCCCTCCCTTCTGCTTCTCAGTGTTTTTCTCCCACTCTCTAGCACAGAATCCAAATGAAGTAATAGCTTCTCCCTATTCTGAATCTCATCCTACAACACATACACTACCACCGATATTCAGGTGATTACCCAGCTCTGCATAGAAAATTATGCACCATTTATTCTAATTGAGTTATTGTTTATGTTGCTTAAAAGCTACTCTTTAATACATTCAAGAGAAGAAGCACCATCTTTAGGAACTGATTCACTTTGCCAGTAATGTAGCAGCACACCACTATAGAAAATCCTGTGGGTAGGGTTGCAAAACAGAAGTTAAATAACTAATTTCCAGAAGGCTTTACAACAGACTTATTTCTGTGGGGACATTTTCTTGTTCTGACTGAGCATGAATTAACCTTTGAGTTGTGATGGCATATAAGGAAAAAAAACCAAAACTATTAATCCCATAGCCCAAACTAATTAGAGGTAATATTCAATCTGGGAAGCATCCTATCACTAATTAACATGAAAATAAATATTTTCACTTATTTTTGATTCTCTAGGCACATCTCAATTCTAGTATATTTTAGTCAAACCCTTTTCCTTTATCCTTCAGACCTATATTCTTGTGAGCTAATTTCTTTGGTATTTTCAATGCTAGACAAGAAATCACTGCAGTTAGTTTTAAATAAGACTGCATAAAAGAAAAGATAAATGGTTCTAGACAGCCATAGTGCTTGTGAAGTACTGAACTGTGCTATAGCTTGACATATCCTTAAAATTGCTGCTAAATCATGAAGGCTCAAAAGTCAGAACAGATTACTGAAATGTTCTTAAGTGGATTTTTGACACCATTTTTACTCGAACTATAAGGATATACCACAGCATAAGGTGACATTCAGAAGTGATTTTTGACATAAAATACATTACTACTTGTCAGAATATGCAATGGAGATCATGGTATGTATAGACTTTTCATATATTACATGACAGATAATGGATTCTTTGAAAGCTATTTATGATAAAGTACATTAACCTATAAAGATATGACTATATGCATTTTTAAGTTATTGCATGCTTCATTAATAATTATTAAATACTTTGAACTATTGAGATGATGGCATGCAGATTTCTATCTAATTTTCAAATAATAAGGCACATAATTTTTTTTTGTTTTACTGATTAAAAACACCAATAGGATTAGAGCATTTTGCATTTTGAAGCTCTTTTGAAAATCCCTACTGCTCTCACAGTACATAACTTGTGATGTACTACAGGGAGTGTAAATTTAAGATTTTATTATTTCAAATGGTGGGTTAATGGGAATTGAACGGGCAAATATACTTCAAAGAGCACTTTTAGTTTACTTCATTCCTCAGAAGAAAACAGAGGTATCTCATACAGAGGATGAATTAATACGGAGCACAATGTGTGAAGGATCTTCACTGAAGAATTTTAAAGAGGAATTTCCAGAGAAGAACCAGGATTTATTGAATCACTACCCAAGTATTTTCTTTGCATTCAAGTATTCCAGATACTCTCTAGGCAAATAGCATGACCCTTACTTGTTATTTGAGAAGGATACACATCTTCTTCCAACTCTGAGATAACCATTCAAATTATCTGCTGTGAGAGTACACAGGTGAAAGAGCAGCTTCCATCGACTGACACCTTTGACAAAACATGACTGGGAAAGAACCTGAGTCAAGAAAAATGAGAAATGAAGGAAAGCTGGAGGTCATGGCCACACTGGGGGTGGAAGGCTTGAAAAAATGTTCTTGCTTCATTTACAGATCTGCAATTTTAGAATAGTTTCTTTTCCCTGGGTGCTGGTGAGGACAAACAAGTCCTGTAAGGGGGTTTATCAGAACTGACTGCCCCCAAAGCTTTTGTCTACACAAAAGAGACAAGTTATAGTTACTGAAATCTCCCACCTGCGGGGACCAAGGCACCAGTCTGGTGGCTTGACCCAAGCTACCCTCTCAGGTTCATTGCTTTTCCAGGGCTACATTCCAGGGTGCTACAGAGGGACTACTGAGGCTTGTCTGCCTCTGTTGTATTGCTTTTCCGTTTGTACACTGTTGGTACTGCTGGGAGTAATGCAAAACATATTGAGAACAACCACAAATCTCTGACAGCAGGGATAAAAGGCATGTGAGGGCCCAGGTTGTGTCTGTTCAAGCCTGTCACTAAGGCAAAAGACTAGAGAAGTGGTCACATCCAGCAGGTCAACAGCTGTCCATGTGTGCCTGGTGTTGCAGTCAGTTTTGGCTGTGGGACCCTTTCTGTACCTTGAGCAAGCACCACCTGCTAGGGTCAACATAGTGGTTCACAGTAGCAGGAGGAGAGCCAAAGAGCACAAGTGCAAACATCAGAAATTCTGATTAGGTATTAGAAAAACATTATTTTAAAGTGGTGGAATACAAGAACACATTGCTTAGAGTGGTGGTGGAATCTCAGTCCTCAGAGACTGATCTGTGCAAAGCCTTGAGCAATCTTATCTAATTAGATCTGTTCAGAGCAGAGTGTTTGACTTCTGAAGGGTCTTTCCAATCTCCATGATTCTAAATGAAGAACGATGGGCACCAGCTCTGCATTCTAGCTGGTAATTTCTAGGGAAATTACTAGCTTTCCCTACTGGTTATTTAAAGGGATCTCAGAAGACTTCCTCAGATGCTTTTATTATGGATACCCAGGACAAGGCTAGATTAATCTCAGCCACAGTTTCTATTTTGCTGCCTTTTGAAACCCATAGGAATTTAGGCACTTGAAAGCTTTAGTGTCTTTGATATTTTATAAGTTAAAATCTTATTGAAAATCCTGAGACAGAAGGCTTTTTTTTTATAGTTCCCACAGTATTTTCAAAGTATAACATTTTTTTTTAACCATATCACTATACAAATTATTCACCATTTCATTGATGAATGAGAAAGGCAGGGTTTTTTTTCACCTGAGTCTTAGGAAGAGTTATACCCTAATATCTGTAAGGTTATGTCACTTACTTGCTAAAAAGAGTTACAGAACCAATTCCTCTTAAAGCAAAGCATCTCTGTGTTAAAGCCATCTCTGGAATACTTAAAATCTTATTCTGTGCACTTATCTCCTAATGCTTACTCATATGAATAAAACCATTGATTCAATTAACTTTTTTGTATTAGTGACTTATTACTGCGCTGGAATTCTTGAGTAGTATAATGGTTACTTTATATAATAACCTTTATAACATCCTTTTGAGATTTTTGATGTTGGTATAATTCTTCTAAGTTGCTTTAAGTGCAGAATAACAGAGAGAAAAATTGTGAGCAGAAAAACATAAGAGAGTAGAGGCAGGGTGACCATCTTCTTTCTAAAAGCAAGATAAAAAGTTCTTAATAATTGAACTGACACTTACAGAAACACACTTTTCAGCAGTATTACCAAAATTGTTCAACCTTATATTACCAAAATCCCCTTTCAGTTGCATGCTACATCCCTTTTTAAACTATATAATTCCCTGAATTATTATACACTGGTATTAAAAAAAGTATAGATCCTAGACAGAGAGTGGCAACATTGATGACTAAATAAAATGGAGCAATACCACCCCTAACTCATGTTTTATTGCTGAGACTAGTAAGAATTTAGGCATCTATTCCGTACTAGAATTTGAGATCTGTTTCTACTTGATGCAAAATCTAAAGGCCTAATGAAAGTCCCTAAAGTAAACACTTCCAAAAATGAAACCAAGTAGAATATATTTGTTAGTAAAAGATCTGTTCTTCCAGCTTGTCAATATGATCCTAAATCTGGACTTGTTAAAAGTTCTTTGTTCAAGATGTGAATAGAAGTCTATTTTTGGAAAGAAATTAATGCCAATGTTTTCACCTCAGCATTTCTTATCACCCTAGTAGCCAGGCTTCACATGATCTATCACCCCAGAGCCCACCATTGTACTCTAAGATTAAAGAAAGAGGTTCCCTACAAAATTCATTCACAGGTGAGGCCTGGTTGAACACGGGGTTTGCAAGGAAGTGTCCATGTCACCACATTTTATGCCAATAACTGAAACAAGGGAAGAAAGCAGAAAAGATACACTGATAGAAAAAGAGTAGAAGAACTGCAAAGTAGAAGTGAATCAGAGATGGAATCAGAGGGCTTGATCTAAAAATCAAGAAGCTGAACTAAGATAGATAAAAGAGACAAAGGTGAACATGAAAGAATGAAGAGGGCTCACCAATGACGCTAAATCACAGACCCAGGAAGGCGATAGGCTGTCTCCATGGAAATTGCAGGCAAAAAACCTCTGGAGATTAGTAGAGAGCTCAGACCACCTGAAAAAGGAGCCCAGAATTAAGACTGTGGAGAATATGAAGTTCTACAGATCATGGGAGTGGGTCTCTAGGCAGATAAGAACAAGAACCAGTCAAGGAAAAGGCTGCTGAAAAGGAACCTGAGCAGGTATAAATGAATATATCTGGGAAAAGATGGTAGAGCCTTTTGCCAAGTAATACCTTTTGAAAGATATTAATGATGCATTCTTCTTTTACTGAGTGCCTGGCTTTTATATATGAAAGATGTCCTACTATTAAGTGTTCTCAAGTATTGTAATCACATATCCCCTAAAAAGAGAAGACATAGCTCTCCCAGGATTTCCTTGGGAAGCTGTGAGAAACTGTGAGAAAGCTCAGAGAAAAGAATGAGAAACAATTCTTATCTTTACATGCTGCACCTGTTGTTGTGAACATGTGGAATATTTTATGGAGATTTGTTTAGCAAAGGATGATTTCTTCATTGGTCACTGGTGGTGGTGTTTGGATTGATTGACCAATCTGGTCTGATTGTATCAGACTTTCTGTAAGGGTGATTAGTTTTCTTCATAGTATAGTATAGTATAGTATAGTATAGTATAGTATAGTATAGCAATTGATCAGCCTTCTGAAATCATGGAGTCAATGCTAATTATTACCTGGTGGGGACACCTGCTATGATACTCAAGGATATGATCATTGCCTCAAATTTTTCACTCATAATCCTGGAATGTCTCACAAAATATTTGTAGATTTTTCTCATTAGTAAATTTGATCTTAAATTCATATTCTCTAGGAACTGGTTTAAAACCCAGCACGTCTCAGAGTAGCAGCAGCATAAATTCTTTAGTGGTAGTAAATAAAATCAAGAAAAAAAAAAAAGAGGAAAAAAAAAAAAAAAAAAAAAAAAAAAAAAAAAAAAAAAGAGGAAAAAAAAAAAGGAAAGAAAAAAGGGGAAAGGGAAGATGACTGATGAAAATATAAAAATATTACTGTGAGGCATAAGACTATGACACACAATTACAGATTCTTTATTCAATGTGGTATTTGAATAGCAGGAGAACTGAAGAAAAACTGTTTTTCACTCTAGTAAGTGAGCCTATTGTATCATATGCATGGTATCAGACAGATTTTCTGTAGAGAAATACATTTTATAGCCATATAATTAAAACCTATATATTACTGTACAATGTATTGTACAATGTATATTGTACAATGTATTTAAAAGAGCACATTAAGTGCTCACATGTCCTAGAGCATGGAATAGAGCTTTAACAATATTCTTTATATATGTGCAGAAGAAATAAAAAACATGTTCCATTTTATTTCATTTAAACTTGAGTCACTCCAATTAGAATTGTATGGATGAACTTTCCTGTTATGCCTAAAATAGAAGGTTGTCATGGAATATTTTCTTTGAATCTCAGTGAAATAATTTTTTAAGTTGCATAGTACTTTCCAATCAAATATTTATTTAGTAGCAAACAAAAGAAACTGAGCTCCTTCTTGAAAATGTTCAGCATTGCTTATTTTCCTCTTGGAAGACAGTCCTAAACTTTTGCTATTTAGATCACAGAAACTGTCTCTAATTTTTCAGAATTACTTTTTTCTCACCCATCTGTTGGGATGCTGACCATGTTTTTGTTCAATTAATTTTCTCTCTTTCTCAGTCTGCATTACACTCTGTATATGTATAGATAGCAACTTTATTCTTCTGTACCTTCCTTTAGGTACTTTCAATATGCCAAGTTCTTTTAGACCTATCATAAAACCAAGCCTCTCCACAGAGAACAAAAGGAAGACAATGTCTTACTGTGGAAGACAATGTCTCAAGTCTGCAGGTTTCTCTTGGTCCAAGTACTTTGCCCTCACCACTTTTCTCTGCTCTGGCCTCTGACAGTTTTTTTTTTTTCCATAAAGACCTAAGGAAAAAAAGAAGAAATAGTTTTAAAAGAAGGTGACAATTACTTTGCTTCATCTGTGTCCCAAGTCCAATACTATGTGTATAAGATAGATTTGCTGTAAGATCATGGGCCAGGTCAAGGCCACTAATGGTCAGAGANAAAAAAAAAAAAAAGGACCAACAGAAGAAATGTAAGAAATGTAAATACTAAATAGCAAAAAAAAAACTTAGGAGCTCTTCTTTCTTCATGTTCCCAGAAGTAGGATCATGAGCATCCAGAGATCATCAAATAGAGGGGTGCTCAATGAGCAGAGATAATTTCTGAAATGCAGTTTCAGCACTTTAGTTCTGCCTGATCTGTGTGACTGAGTTCCAGGTTAATTGGAGCTGAGTTCCATATTTTTTCATGTTGTATTTCAAAGACCTAGATGTATAATTTGGGCTCTTAAAGCACAATAGATTATGAGCATTTCAGCCTTGGGTAAATACTTAAGTTGTGGGATAACTCTCATTGTTTACAGGATGTTATAAATTAGACTGTAGGTATACAGTCTAATTTATCTAATTAGGTGTATTCACTACCTGCCAAGCTACAATCGTTTATAAGCATCTGAAGTGGGTGGAGCATCTTGTTGGGTTTTTTTTGGTTTGGTTATGTTTTGGTTTGTTTGGGTTTTGTTTGGTTGTTTTTTGTTGGACAAACACTGATATTAATCTATTGTCAAGCTAATCTGTTATGAAAAAGGTTCTAAAACTTGATTTTGTTTTTACAAACCTGCAGTTGAAAAACCAAATGACAGTTTTGGAACCAGAAGTGTTATCAGGTGAGAAAAAATTATCAGATTCTATCTTTCTTCTATCAGATTCTAATCTTCTATAGGTAAGTGACTAGAAAGTATCTAAACTATCTGGTCTGACTTAATTGATAAAGAGAAAACCGCATAGCAACAGCAAAACCATTGCACATAATCTTGAGGGCCATTATAAGCTGTATACAGACAGACAGAGACACATTTAGTTTTGTAACATGCTGCCCAAACACTCAAAGGCGGGCCAGAATCACCATATTCTCCAACTCACAAAGTAGAGCAAAAAAAATTTTGAGACCTCTACCCAAATACTCTGCATGAAGGAATGTGGGCCTGATTACCTTTTATGGACCAACTGCTTTCATTCTCTTCAGTGATGCAAAAACAGATGCAAAATCAGTTTGAAAATTGGTTAGCCATCATTACTGCTCTGCTCTGACACTGAGATGCTTTAAATCAGATGGAATTTACTGAATGTGAATGGGGCTTTTTATTTCCAGGAGTCACATCCAAGTTAATCAGTAACAGGTGATGTCTTTACTTAAAAAAAGAAAGACAGAAAAAAAAGCAAACCCATCATGCAAATTGACACTGACATTCTAAGTAGCTGTAAAAAGATCACTCTTAAATTAATTTAAAAACACTACCATCTACAAAAATCAACAAAACCAAATAAACAAATATGGGGAAAGAAGGGGTAGCAAGGCAGTCTTATGTAATTCTGACCCTTCTAGTCTTTCAAAATAATATAAAACATGTCCATCTATGGTTTAACAAATGCCCAACTATGAGAAAAAAATCTGCATTATTCCATGTTCATTTGAGGAAAAAAAAAGTAATATGCAGAAATGTGTGAGCTTATAAAATGTAAATATATGAATCCTTGGTATGATGAATGAATTCCTTGGTATGAAAGACTTGATACCAAATTATATTTATTCTCCTTTTAACTGTTCAGCTATTTACAGACAGTGATTATCTGAGAGTTAAAAACCTTGCTATACCCCATCCAGAGACAAATTCTACATGCTTTTTCTGATTTTAAGATATTGTTTGGTTACTTGTTCTCTTTTCATGTGTATGAATTTCTTCTGATGCATGTACAAGAAAATCAAATAGATAATTGATTCATTAGCAGAATTTTGACCCACACCTAAAAATCACAATTTAATTCTTTTTTTTACTCTAACAACTTAAGACCCTGCTATGGGATATGGATTCCTGCATATTAGACACTACAGAAGTAGGCAAACAAGAGAAAGGGTACCTGTATATCAGCTGTATTTTGGTAAGATAAAATTTCATACCAGCGAGACAGAGAAGAAGTCACTAAACGGTGAAGCACTTGGACAGATATATACAAAACAATGCACGAGATTAACAGCCTATGTATTTGGTGTCACTTATTGCCATAAACGTCCATGTGTTTTATTGATTCACATAGGAAGTCTTACTTCCTGATAGTCTGAAAAAGAAGTTTGATTCTTCTGGAGCTCCCCAAGCCTCTTCATATCATCAGTTACTAGAAAAAATGTTTAAATTATGAAGGACCTTCAACTTCCAGGTAGACTTCATTGAATATGCATGCTGAAAAATGGTGCAAAATAGATTCCTTAAATATCCTCAAGATGTAAGAAAATTAAAGAAAGACAGAATTATACATTTTCTTGGTGTCAACTCTATCAGAGTAAATAATTTTAACTAGACCAGTAAGGTTTTATTCCATTAGTCCCTTAGCAAATTACACTGAAGACAGAGATTCCAATCGGTACCGTATCCATGCAGTACATCCCAGGTGATGATATATCAGCTGTCTGCAGCAAGTAATCATTGCACAGTGATTAGAAAACAGAATAATGACTCTGCTCTTGATGGTGCCTCAGTCATAAGGGATGACAACTATTAGTTTCTGTGGCACTACAGGACATTTGGCAGTAATGACTGAACAGAACATCAGTAAGAGATCAGCTGCATGAGTGAGTGGTGGTGTTACTGCTTGATTTATTCTTTTTTAAACACTCTTGCATGGCAGCACAGGAACGCCTGGAGAAACAAGTGTCAGGAGGAAGGGGTGATAGATAAGGAACCCAGAAACAATAAAAGCACAGTCTTGAAGAGATTGATCAAGCCAGATAGGGAAACATCCCAAAGATGCAGAGGTTACTGAAGTGCATAAGCCTAGGAAGAAGCGCACTAACAGCTTAAGGGGGAGTCACTGTGTTTTTTGAAGCCAATCAAAATTATTACCAAACATCTGGCAGCTGATGGCAGCTTTAATTTCAAAAAAAAGCATAACAATAAAAATAAAAAAAAAAAAAAAAAAAAAAAATCTGAAAAAAAAAAAAAAATAAAAAAAAAAAAAAAAACAGATAAACAAAGTCTGGAAAGCTCAGGACTCAGAAGCATATTGTTTGTTCCTTGTTGAAATATTTTCTTAAAGGGTGTATATACTGGGTATTTAAAGCGTGACCATGGCCTGGAGATGTTGTTTGCTTCTCATATCCCAGTGGGTTGCAGGGACATGACATTTTCAAGACCCTTGAGGCAAGTAAACCAGCTGAGCTGGTTTCTTGCTTGTTTTTTTTTTTTTTTTGTTTTTCATTTGCATTTCACATAAGCTATTAAACTCAGCCTGTCTGGGATTTTTTGGAGATTATGACTGACTGCTTTTAAAATTCTGTCTCTGTGTAGTAGCTTTCTCCTTTGTTACAACATTTTTTTCTTTTTTTTTTTTTTTTTTTTTTTTTTTTTTTTAATTTCCAAAACACCCCCTTATTATGATCCAACAAAGTATAGTATTTCTGGTTAAAAGTAGTTTATAACCAGACCCATTGCTGGCTAGTGATACACTTAGGGTCTCTTCTGTAAATAAGTGGGGCAGTTGAAAATATAAACCAAGCAATTTGATAGACATTTGTTACAATTTGACCAGTATTCTAAAGAGTGCAAACAAGTCTGCTGACTTCAAAGTACAAAATGTCAGTATATCACACTGAAAACAAAACCTCCAACCTATTAAATATAATTATTTGTTGCTGCAAGAAGTCTAAATGGACAAGTCAGTTTTTCACTAATTTTGTGACTAAGGATTATTTATTTTCTTGTAATTATATGAAGGCTGTATCTAAAGTGAAAAATTTTTTTGAGTAATTGCTCTGGGGGAAAAATTATCATTTTTAGAATGGGATTGAACTTCTTACATAGCTTTTACGCTGGTCCTGCCATTTATCATTTGTATAGTACATACTTTCACTTAATTCACAACCTTTGCTACTTAAGGTGTACATGAGGCTGTGGAGATTTACTGATCAGGAGGAACCTCACCAGTATTAAATTCACCTGTTCAGGAAATTTAAATAAGACATGATGTTCATCTAGAAAGAATGCTGAGGGTTTGACAAAACCAAAACATGCAAATTCAACCTAATTTTTAATCACTGATTGCTAAGTTTTATTTATGACTGAGTGGCCATTGACTTAATTGCAATACTATAAACTCATAAGTGGTCCTTGTTCAAAAAAGGCACAGGGATATGCTCTGAAGAATGTGTTGCTAAACAAAAGATTAGCTAGCCTGTGAAGCCTCAGGAAAAAAAACATTAATTTGTGAAAATGGGGCTCAGATTGCAATTATTTTCTGTGTTTCTTGATAAAGGTGACTTCCCTGAGACTCCTCTATCTTCATAATATGCCTCAATCCAGTTACTATAATAATGTATTTTTAAATTGAAAGGACGTTGGATTCTCAACTAAGCTCCTGCATTTGTAATCACATATATTGTGATTCGCTGACTTACGAGCCTTTTGCTAGGATGCTGTGTATATGAACAATCAAAAGGGAAATTATGTGAGTGTGTTATAAGTTTAGGAAAAAAATCCCTATTTTTTTGTGTTCAGGATATGATGTAGTGTGTTTGTGTAGAAATATGCAACTGAATATCTTCTGCAACTCCTTTAAAGGAGAAAAGGATAACTCTTGTAAAGTACATCACAATGCAATCTCTAGTTTTTTTCCTGTTGAAATACATAAATTTAAAATAGTGTGGATTATATTTTTAAATATACATTTGAAGATTATTTGAAGACTGTTTTGGCTGCAGCAAACTTGATAATATAGTTTTAAAAACTATAGAACCATACTTCTGGTTCACACTGCTCAAACAAAATAAATTCAGCTACAAACAGATTTTCAACAATCTTCTTTCATCTTAGTGTAAGAGCATTCAAAACCCAGTTCAAAATGGGGAGAAAGAAAAAAAAAAGGCAGGAATGATATTTTTATCTTCAACACAAAAAGAAAAATTTTTGAAGCACATATAGAGAGAAATGGTACCAGGCAATTTCAGTGGTGTTTAATAGCATTTCACTCGAGTAAGAGACAACATGGGGGAGCACTTGGCTGGCATGTGTATACCACATAAAGAAGTTATTTTGTCTTCAACTGTAAGTCAAAAACAAGACTATGATTTTCAGCGCATTATCAACTGATTTTATGACAATTAAAAAGTCAAAAAAGCTGAAATTCCATTAGTCCTTGAAAAATTCAATTCTGTTTTTGCAAGCATTATGCCATTATTGTGTTCTTCTCTTTTCCATTCTACCCAAAATCTTGAAAAATAACTAAGTATTGTGTCAAATGCATGGCTGATGAAACTAAAGACCAACATGACAAGGCAGAAGAATATCCTGCTAAAAATATGGTTAAATGACAAAGTCAAGGCCCCAGACTTAATTTAAAAATGCCATGATAAATCTTAGGTGTTCCTTTTTCTTGTTATATTCATGATGGATACATGAAACAAGTGGCAGATACATTTTCTTTCTCGGGGCCATACCAGACTTAAGGGATATTAAGGAGAGCAGGTATGTGTATGAGAGCACCTGCATATTTCTAGGCATGAGAATTAAATGGGATCGGCCACTGGGGCCAGAGGAAGCCTGAGCAGCTGGAGTGGGGTGTGCCAGCAGCTGGAGTAAGTCTGTGCCCTCAGAGGCTTGTATGTCTGTGTGCAGCACCTGGGAAGCTGGGATCATAGCATTTCACTGAAGCTCAACCAGCATCTTGAAACACTGCAGTGCAGCATGTGACTGTCCTTCAAGCTCTTTTTCTTGCATTTTTTTGTCCCCACTAATGTGCTCCACACGTTTCTTACTCCTGAAGAAAAATGCAATCTTTAACTTCCATTGGCATTTGTAGCCTTGAAACATAACAAGGGGAGGTAGGGGTGTGGATGGTAGCAGTTCTGGTTGGATGGTTGACAACTTCCACTGCATGCGATTTTGTATCAAACATTACAGTTACCTCTTGCAATATCACCTTCCTTAGCCTTGTCTACTTTTCTATTTTTATAAAACTCACCAAATTACCTCACCAGCATCACAACTGAATACAGAGGACCAAAATTACAGCTCCAAGTTTTGCTAAGAAATGGTAGGAAACTAGTAAACAGCATGAACAGCCACTGAAAAAAACTTGCTCCATGTCACACAGATCCATGGATAATTTTTAATTACTGGAAAAGTAAGGAACATACTAGGCTTTTTATGATAGCTAAAAATAAAATTGCAGAACCTATGATAAGAAAAGAAAGAAATTCCACAACAAATATTTAAATTAATCCTTAAAAGTCACTTATTGATTACACCAGATTGTCAAATACTGGTAAGTGGGGTTAGGCATCTTGTATTTCAAAACAACCTGCATATAGGTTCTCCATTGAAACAAGAGGAAGCAAGACAAGACAGATGAAAGATGCTTAGGACAAATAGCAGACATTTAAACAGGAAAATGTTAGGGGGAAAAAAGCACAGCAGTGTCTTAGTTAAAAGCCTAAATGAACATTCATTCAAAATGTCATGGTTATTAAAACAATAATAAAGCAGTTTAACTGATATGAATAAGTGGGAAACAAGATCATTGCCTCTAAGTCTTTTACTTGCACTGCTATCTGTCCCATCATGTCAAAAGGATTATATGCAAAGCTAATGATTGCCTTTCTTTCTAAAATATTCCATCCTACTGCAATTAATACACAGAGTGCTTCTCATAATAACACTGGTGTGTGTGTGGTGAAGGATAACAGTGAACATCAGCTCCGTTCTCTCTAAATACAAGGGTAGGTCCTTCTAAGAACTCATCAAATTTTGCTCTTGTTACAATAGAAGTAAGCCCCCTCTCATAATTATGTACCACCAGAATCAAAAAATAAGATATGCAAATGAAACATCTTTAGAATTATTCTGAGAATACCAGTTCCTTTGCTGCCACTAAATAGCAATGGATAAATGCCTGAGAAAAAGAGTGGTCATTTTAGGCTGGAAGATGCTGCTTGCAGAAGAACCAGTGTGCTGATTTGACCATACCTTACTTTAGAGTGAAAATCAATCCAGACAAAACAGACCTAGGTGTGCTTCCTGACTGGAAGTCCAATAGTCCAAAGGTGTGTCCACACCACCTGCATCATTTGAAGCACAACCAAAATTAATTGCATCACAATTGCATATCATCCAGTGTTTCTGATCCCAGAATCACAGGGATGGTGGAAAAGGTCTTTGCTAAAAGTGGAAAGGGGGAAACTTAAGTATTGTTCAAAGGTCTTATGAGGCTGACTTAATGTTAAGGACAGATTTAAAGAACTCTCCCCCAGATTTTTGTTCTTAACCAAGAAAATTAATCTGAATTTCAATGAAAGAAAACAAATGAGAAGAATAGTTGAAAGATTAGAAATGTTCAGAATAATTATTACTCTATATTTGAAAATATTTGAAATAGTATTTATATATATTTATAATATTGACAATTTATTCATGAATCAAGAAAACATGTTCAATGACTGAGTTTCTGGAAAAAACCCATACATTTCTGAGACATACATTTGGACTTGTTGATAATAAATTCTCAAGTTTCACACATTACTAGGAATAACAAACCCCCCTACCTCTACAGAGTATGGTCTGAATACAGCTCACTAAAATTCATCTAATATTGCTTCCTCTTCTTCTTCTTCTTCTTCTTCTTCTACTACTACTGTTTCTCCTTCTTCTTCTCCTCTACTTGCTCTTTCTTCTCCTTCACCGTGACTGTCATTATGATAATTGAAAAATTAATAATATCTGTATATGGAGATGGATTATGAAATCTGAAAACTTAGACAAATCCTTGTGTACTTGTTTATGTCGACATAATTTGTTTTGCTCTTCCAGTTTTAGCTAATGCAGAAAACAGGTAGACAAACTTTTAAGATTTCATATTCCCTGAGACTCTTTTTCTCTAAATTGAGCTATTCAATCATTATTGATCAAATAGCACAAGAATAGAGAACAGGCAGTGCATAGGACTTTGAAATTGAGGTTCTAAGCCTCTAGATTTGCAGAGCCAAATTTTTATACATTGTCTTCCACCAGTACTGAGGCAGAAAAGCGCATCTGGCTAAGGACTGAGCACTATTACAAAGAAACCTCCTGGACAGCCTGCTAGGAAGTGACTCATTTCCCAAAATACTGGGTGACTGGAAAGTAAGGTCAAAAAACTAAGAGCTCTCATTGAAAAAAATTATTAATTTAATTAATTAATTAAAAACAATTGAATTAATTAATTGAAAACAATGAATTATGTCACTTTATATGACATAAAACAAAACAAAACAAACCCCCTTATTTTACACTCTATTTCAAATATGTAAACATTGAAATGAAGTATTTTCTTTGTTCTAGCCTGATACTCTGTAAATTTCTGCTAAACCTCTCTGCAAGACATTTGCTCCTATCAAGACATAGATGTCTTCACTAGAGCAGACAGAATTGTGATGATAGTATTTTGTAGTGCTGCAGACAGCCAATCTGTATAATCTCTGTTTTAATATGGTTTTGCTCAGGCAGCTTTTCCTAATCCATGTTCTGAGTCTGGCTAAATATTGGAACAAGAGAAATGTTATATTGTTTGAGTTTGGAAAGACAGATGGAGCTTTTGTATTTGCTGCATATCAGAATCTATCATGGAACTACTTCTGGGAGCTGTAAGGTAACTGCTGATTAAGCTGAAGGGGGAAAAACAGATGTGGAGACAAAGTTTTGAATCACTTCAGTTTTGTGCTTCCTATAATTGCTGATGTTCCTTATTTACTAGGGCAAAAGCATTAAGAACCCTTAACAGACTCAGTCTAGTCAAGAAGACACTTCATCTTTGAAATAACATGGAAAACATTTTCAAGCTAATGTATCAGCATAGCTTGAAAAAAATAAAACAAAATAATCACTTCACCTTTCCTGTTTCTCATTCAGGGCTTGTTTGATAGAAGAAATCTGGATTTCTTTTAGTGTTTCAAATTTATTTCCTCACCATCTTGAACTGCTGTAGTCACCAAAGATATAACTATGCCAATATGTTTGATTCCAGTGTTTACAGTTTGTGTGTTACACCTTTTCATGTTGAATCTTATGAAACTAGTGATTCATATATCAGAAGAAATATACAACAGGGACTCAATTCTACAGGTTTAGGCACACAGGCAAAGATTATGTTTATCCCATGGATATTTAACCTAATGTTTCTGGTAGTTTCTCCATTTTCTTCTTCCCTATCACCTTGCCTGTCTCATTGAAAATCAGTACACCAAAGATTGTATTATATCACCTGTACCCTAAGGCAAGATTAATCATACCAAGGTCATTTCTGATAAATCTGGATGTAGTGGGGTCTTTGGAATTTTTCATAAAGACATTGTAATCTTTAAATAGTCTTTTTGAACACTTAATAATCTCTGACTTTCCTGTATATCTAACATAATATCTAATATTCGTTTGCTGCAATTGCATTTTTCCCAAATATTTTGAGAACTCATTACTGCCCTTGGGTTATAAAAAAACTTTAACAGTAGACTCCATCATCTCTCTTCTGGATTACTTCCTCCAGTTCTTGTCCCTGCTCTTTACAATTTTCTTTGCCAGCCCCATACTCAGACTTCTGACAACACAGTTATAATGACATCCACTGAGATATATCCATTTCATTATTTCCTAAAATGTGGTGACCCAAATGGGGTTCAGTACTCCTTGAGCATTACAATGTTTGATAAAGTAGAAGTCCTTCAATTGACAAACAATACTCTTATTAATTCATTCTGATATAATCTCTTTTTGCTTTGACAGCAGAATTTGACAGTAGCTTATGACTCTTGAAAGCACTGTATGCAACTAATTATTCCTTTTTAAGTTTAGAATTGAATTTAATTGAAAACATTTTAATTATTTGGTGTGTTAGGTATCAGCCTGCTTCTATAGAAGTGAATTTCCTAAGATCATACTCCAGGTAAGTATGAGCTCACAGATCCCTAAATAGTTATTTAATTCACTGATCATCATGAAGCAGATTTCATAGAAGGATAAAAATTTTAAAGATGTTTATGTTCCTGTAAGTGTGGCTCAAGAATATATCTAAGAAAGAAAAGAAGGTAGAAATATTATATTTGCTGAAAATGCTTTGCCATGATCTCTCATTAGACATCAGTGAATCTGCACACACAAGGCCTCATCACCCTTCCATTCAAAATATTTCAGTGTTTTGAATAGACAGAAAAATGTACAGGAAAATAAAACCAAATCAAATTAGTTCTAGTGCTCACTGATTTAATATTTACTTGCAAGGTTATTATTTTTATAGTTCTGGTTAACTTGAGTTTTGTTGACACTGACATGAACTGTTATTCATATTCAAGATACCATATCATATTCAAGATATGATTTCTAAATTTGGCTGGGATAAAGATAATTTTATTCATCAGTTTTCTTCCTTTTGCTCTTATCCTGAGTCCCCCGCCGCCACCTCCCACCCAGTCCCACTGAAAGTTTGGCTGCCAGACAGACTTCTTCCATAGCACTACTATATTTGTGAATCTTAAATGCTATTTGGACAACTTGATTTTTTGATATCCCAGGAAAAATTAATTGAATTTTGGTTATAGTGAAAATATTTCTGTTACCAATCAAATTCCTCTATCTTACATGAATTTAAATTTTATTCATGTGTTATCTTTTGCCACTCTGCCTTTACTCTAAAGGCTATTTAAGGTCTCTCTTTCAGTCCTATTTTATTAAGTTTATTCTGCTTTGGAAAGTTCTGTGAAATTCTATGCCATGTATAAGGGAAACTATATAAATTTAATCCAGAGGTAATGGGAAATCAATGTTGGTATCATTAAGTTGAACTTGTAAACAGAGAACTTTAATAAGAATGTGAAATATATTGAAAGTTGAAAACATACAGGTGAATAAGGACTTAAATACTTAGAGCTGGCTTCTGTATGTATGGTCTTTTGTTAACAAAGAAGGAATAAAAATGCTAAACTTTGAACCATTGCTTCTTTCCCTCCTTTAAATAAACAAAACCCTCAGCAAGCTTAAGAAGAGCATCATCCAGAAAGATGGAAATTAATAAACAGAAACTGAATATCTCAGGAGGATTTGACTCTTATTAATCAGTTTACCACACTTTATAATTTTGGGGTTTTTTATGAGCTAACTCTTTAAAATATAGAACCCCAATTCAAAAGAAGTACTAATACCTAGATCATAACTGATATGAGTTAACAAAAAGTAGAGGATTTCTTCTGAGTAATTCTTGGAATTAATCTTTTCTAAGGCTAAAACTGCGTTACACAGAAAGTAACAAATTATTGCAAGTTTACTGTAGAAATACCAACTTTTGGGAGGCAAAATTTTTCTAGGTGAGCAATAATGGCCTTGCAAAGACAGAAGAGGGAAAAGCAATGGCACTGAAATTACTTGTTATTAACTTTCCTTATATTATTTTAAAACAATCATTCTATGCAACACAATGCTACTGATATCAAATGCAATAAATGTGTGAGATAAAAAAATATTGGGGGATATTTGATTATTTAACAATTGTATTTTCCTTCCCATATTATCTAAATCAACACACTGATTGTGAAAGAACAGTCAGTCCCAATGACTAAGGGCTGTCTACATTAAAATAGTATTAGTACAAGGACCAGTCGAAAAGAAACTTTTATAAAAACTGCTTCACTGTAAATCTGAATAGGAAAATAAATTGCTTCTTCTGTAACTTTTGTTCACTGATATACATTTAATAACTTTCTTTTTTTCCCCCTAAATTTCCTATTAAAATAAAGCTGTTGAGGTCTTATGACAAAAAAGTCAACATGTCTCTCAACAATGAATTTGAAATACGCCACTAGTAGTTAGCTCAGAGTGCTAGTGTGTCAGCTAACATCAAATTTAGTGCCATGCACAATAAGATTTTTATACGCCTGTAGCAACACTATTTTTTCCACATTTAAGTGCATTTTGAATTAAACTCTGATCCATTTTCTTCATGCTTTCCACTCACTGAAATACTTTGCAAATCTGTTTTTTCAGACTTCTGTCCTTACTCTTGTAAAGCACTGTTATTTCCCTGGTTTCCTCTAGAATAGAGTGTAGAGAAATAACTCTGATACATGGCACCCTGTAATACAAAGTCCGTCCAATTACAGAAGTCTGTTCCATTTGTCACTTATTCCTCAAAAGCTACATCCAATCAAGAACTTAAGTAGAAGAAAACAAGCATTGTGTAATTTTTAGATACCTACATTCTTCATGCAGCTGTTCTGAAGCCTAGTCTGCATGGAATCCTAGACAGGCATGCTGCTAATAGAGGCACCCAACACTTCCCCATTTACTCAGGAATCAGAGACTGTTCTTTAGTAGTGATATTTAAAAGTATTCCTTGTCACATGACAG